AAAATAATTGAAAATTCAAAAATGGTTGCAGCAGTACATCAACAGGGAACTGCCAGAAATTCAGGTCAGAGTCAGAAGAGGACATGGAATAAGGGACATCATTGCTAACGTTAGATGGATTTTGGCTAAAAGCAGAGAATACCAGAAAGATGTTTACCTGTGACTACACAAAGGCATTCGATTGTGTGGATCATAACTAATTATGGATAACACTGTGAAGAATGGGAATTCCAGAACACTTAATTGTGCTCATGCAAAACCTGTACACACACCAAGAGGCAATCATTCGAACAGAATAAGGGCATACTGGGTGGTTTAAAATCAGGAAAGGTTAGGGTTGTATCCTTTCACCATACTTATTCAATCTATATGCTGAGCAAATAATCTGAGAAGATGGACTATATGAAGAAGAATGTGGCATCAGGATTGGTGGAAGACTCATCAACAACATGCGATATGCAGAAGACACAACCTTGCTTGCTCAAAGTGAAGAGAACTTGAAGTACTTAATGAAGATCAAAAACTACAGCCTTAGGCATGGATAACACCTCAACATATAGGAAACAAAAATACTCATAGAGAAAACATTGCAGTTATCAAGGATTTCATTTCACTTGGATCCACAATCAACGCCTAGGGAAGCAGAAGTCAAGAAATCAAATGATGTATCACATTGGGCAAATTTGCTGCAAAAGACCTCTTTACAGAATTAAAAAGGGACTAAGGTGCACCTGACCCAAGCCATGGTATTTTCAATTGCCTAATATGCACATGAAAGCTGGACAATGAATAAGTAAGGCTGAAAAAGAATTACGGTGTTGGTGAAGAATACTGAATACACCATGGAATGCCAGAAGGACATCATCATTGGTAGAGGATTAGCGAAAAAGAGGAAGACCCTCAACAAGATGGACTGACACAGTGGTTGCAACAATGGGCTCAAGTATAACAACAATTGTGAGGATGGCACAGGACCAGGCAGTGTTTTCTTCTGTTATACTCAGGGTCTCTATAAGTCGGAATCGACTCGACAGTATCTAACATCATTTTCTTAAAGAGTAATATTTAAATTACTACTTAGTTTGCAATACTCTTAAGGACTTCAGAGATGGAGACTTGTATGATCTAGCTATTTCTCACCCCTCAGTATTATTGCTACTTAGTAACTAGGAAAGAAGGAAGAGACTGAGCACAGACCACTCTGCAAACAATGATAATGTTCCATTTTCTTTCACTACGTGATGAACAGACAATTATACTTTTTTCTTGATTAGGATATGTGCACCTTTTTGTCTTCCCTCACTCCCCATGGGTACAACCAATGGGCATATATTTGGAGTTATGTTTGGAGATCTCTTCGAACGTTTGAACCAAACTGTTTAAATGACTGATAGACCAAAACTTTGAACATTTTCAGCACACAAAGATAATTATTTGGGAAATGCATGTTACCACAATCAAACTCATGTGACTTGAAAGGTGAGCCTTTGTACCAAATTGAATAACTTGAAGAATAGGTTAGAACGTAAAGTATTAATCTCCGAATGATTCAAGACTGATCTGTGGGCCTGAAAAATAAAATGGTACAATTTTGATTAAAAAAATCTTTCAAAAACAGTAAAGCAGGACGCCCCCATGCTTGAAAATAGCGTTACCTTCAACACATCGAAAGGGTTGTAATTAAGGCCCGCAGTTAGTTATGAAAGAAACTGTCAACTAAATGGCAGCACGTTAAACTAGACAGTTACTAACGTCCCTCAGTAGCTTTTTTGTTGCGACTCGGCGCCGCACCCTTCACCCCGCCCTCCAGGGAGGGTCCTAGAAAGGAAAGGTTGTGTTTTTTTTTTTTCCCCCGAACCAGGCGGGGCTACCCACAAGTGAAACAATAAGTGTCACAGAATGTAAACAACTCGGTCTTTATTTTCTCTGTCTCTCTCCTCATGTGCCCCGTCTGCACACGGCATCGGGCCGCAAAGGGGGTCTCTGTCGCAGGACGCCCCAGGTAGCAGGCGGTGAAGCTGACCGCCATAGCCCAACAGTTGGGTTCCCAGGCTGCCCGGTGTGACGCAGCAGCCCCCGCCCAGCCCCTCCCGCCGGGAGCTCAGACGGGGCCGGGCGCCCCAGGGAGGAGCGAGCCGACGCCTGGACGACCGGACCCCAAGTGCGACCAGTCTCGAAGGGCTTTGCCTCTGTGGCAGCTCCCCAAGACCCAACTCCGTTTCCAGACTCTCCCCACCCCTGCGCTTCCCGGGTTCCTTCTCAGTATCTCTGCCGCGACGTCCTTGCGCAACCGTCCCGAATGACAGCAGCGCCCATACCCGCGCAAAGCGAGCCTGCAGCTCCCACTTCCCGGAATTCAACGCCCGGCCGCTAAGGGAGGGCGCCCGAGCAAGGATCAGCGGGCCACGGCCAGAGTCCGGCGGCCTGCGTTCGATTGGCGTGTGCGCTCCCTCACTGCGCGTGTGCGCACTCGCTCACCGCCCCGCCTCAGCACCAATCGCTTTTTCTCTACGCCCCGCGACTCAACAACGTAGCCCCTCCCATCAGCCGCGCGCCACCCGAAGAGGTTCAGCGTGCGCGCGCTCGCGCGTCCGCCCGCCCGCCTCGCGCAGGGGGGAAGGGGAGTGAGCAGAGGAGCTTACGTCGTCCCGGAGGCGGAGGCGACGGCGACCTCGGTGGCGGCGGCAGCTACGACGGGGACGGTTGCTCTCGTTCGCTCTCTCGGCGTCATGGCGGCTGCCGGGGGCCGATAAGCGGCGGGAGCGCGCGCGCGCGACGGCGGCGGCGACGACGACTCGTTACTTCTCGCTCTCGCTGCTCTCGCCGTTGGTGCTTCAATAATGAATTGATTGTTGGATCCGCTCCGCAGGGGATCGCGCGTTGGTGCCGGAGGCCAGGGCTTCCCCTTCCCCTCCGCGTTCTTCCCCCTCCTCCTCCCCTCACGGACTCCTGCTTACCCCGAGACACCCAGAGCTCGAGGACTCGGCGTCGGAAACCGCGGGCCCGTCGCGGGGGAGGCCGCCGACCCGAGCGGGCTCCCTCTGCCCCGCGAGGCCCGCCC